GGAAGTTTTAAGATTGGTCCAAAGGGAAACTGGACTGGTTGAAGATCTTGAAGACGTTTCATCCTCTGAAAGGCTTCTTATTTCTTTCTTTTTTTTTTAATTCTCTGTATTGGGGTTTTTTTCTTTTTCAAATACAGATTAAAAAAGAATCTGAGGCATGTTTATCCATACCTCAAACCAACACAAAAAACTAAATGATAATAAATAAATAAAAAGATATAAAAAAACATAAGTAAAAACAAATAAAATACCAAAATAATAATTAGATTTAAAAAAAAAAAGAGATTTAAATAGTAATAATAATACAACTTGGAGGATGTCAAGTGCTCTGGATTTTACTACATTGTTTTTTTTTCATGGGGTTGTTTTTGTTATAGTAGGCTTCTTCATTTCTAATCTAACTAGTTGAACGGAGCTTGAAATGTAAGCCTCCGTGGATCATTAGCATGATCAAGGGTGACACACATCAGAGTCGTTAGCTGAGGAGTTACAACCCCCAGAGGTCTGTGGGTCGCTGGAGTCACATGTTCCAAGGTGGGAATGGAGCTTCAGATGTTTGTGGGAGAGAATTCAGAACAGCATTGTAGGTTGGTGAAAGATGGCGTCTCACACCACCTCCAGCGTCTTCAAGATATTCTACTGGCGCAGTTGTCTTTGGATCAAGCTTTGAATTTCCACAGACAAACCACACAGAAGCACTGAAGCAGAGAGAGACTAATCAGCCGCACTGTTCACTGTGTAAACTCTCCACTCAGTCACAGTTAGAGGAGGAGAAACAAGAACACTAAAAGTCACAACATGAACAAGTTGTAGAATCTGTGTTTGAATGTTTCCAACTGAATCTGATGTTAGGAGACATATTGGTGTTCCCAGCTTTATAAAACACTCCACATAAACACGTCAGTAGAAACACCACTAAGGACTGTTTAACAACCCAAACGGCTCCGCTCAGTCGTTCCCGTCCTGCTGGATTGATTGTGTGGATTGAGTGCAGCCTGTTTCTCTTTCCTCCGGCTGTTTGGTGCCAATTTTGCTTCTCCCCCCGCCTTCAGGCTGCAAATTGTTTTGTTTTTTTCTTGAGAGATAACAGAAGTAAGCAGCTGCTGGTGAAGTTAATGTTTTCACTCAGACATCACTCGAGCCTACACGGCAGACAGAACTAGCAGACATAAAAGTGATGTTCTGGAGTGTTTTCCTCAAAGAAAAGAAAACATAATAGTATGCGCAGAGCTACTCATGTTTCAGCTCGAGTATGAAGTCACAGAACACTTTGATGGTGACCCGCTAAAGGAAGAAAACAGCTGCATCAGATAACGGACGACCTCTCATTATTTACTATCCATCAGTGTTAGCATGCGCTGTCGTGATGGAAGGGGCTGAGAAGATTAGCCGCCTCTGCCTGCTGTATGATTTGTTCCCTTTAATCTTTGTGGAAGGAGAAATCCTCTATCGGAGATGGTGTTGTTGGTTTTGTTGTTGGTAGGAGAGAGGACAGAGTCAGAAACAGAGGAATGAGTGAGGGGAACGACATGCGGGAAAGGAGCCACAGGTCAGATTTGAAACCCTGAGCCGCCCGCTCTCAAAGGGTAAGCCTCTTTCCATGGGGTGCTCGCTCTAACCGCTATGCTACAGGCACTCCGATGGTGTTGTTTTTGAGCTAATTTACAAGCTAACACTGCTGCAAAGTACAAACGTTGAGAAGATGTGAAAGGTAAGGATTCAGGGGTGATCTGTAGGGAAGAGATTTAGAGGAACTCTGCCTGAAAATATTCAGATTGTAACGTTTGAAAAACTAAAATCTATACTTTATGGGTGCTACCAGTATTTACCTTCATCCTCATGTCTCGGCCGTGTTTCTCCAGCTCCTTCCTCATCTCTTGAGGTCCCAGTCGGGCAGCGTTCAGCACCAAATGCTTCCACTCGATTGGCTGGAAGACGTGGGGGTCGTGAGGCACATACAGGCCGATCTTCACCTGAGAGAGAGAGAGACGGGGGTTAAAATCAAACACACACACTCATACTGATTCTACCTCCACACCTGTTACCTCTTTCCTCTTTACCTTTTTCAGAGTATGCTGGTATCGCTTGTAGGAGCTCTCGAACTCGGCCACCAGCTCCCCCAGCGTGCGGTGAGTCAGCGGCTTGTCCATCAGGTCCTGGCGGCGGCTCATGCCCAGCGACCCGTAGCGGCCGTTGCAGTAGACGCCGAGCACGACGTGGTGGAAGCAGTGGCCCGAAAACTGGGTTTTAAAGCTGATGGAGAAACGCTCGAGAGACGTCAGGCCGTTGGTCAGGTAGCTGGTCGACGCACGGGAGTCAAGGAAGTATCTCTATAAGGGGATCGATTGTCTTGGTGCATGTTTCAGAATGGAGTGGAGAAAGTAAAGAACATATGAGTATAAACCTGAGACTGTCAGTGGATTCGTTTGGATTTGTCCCAGCAGAGGAGTCATGTGAAATCAGATTCAGACGGACTCTCAGAAGGCGATCACTATGAACATACCGCCGAGTAAACAAAGGCTCAGCGCCCGCCAGCATGTACTGTATGTGTGTGTGCTGTTCCTCCTGTCTGACTGAATCGCTCTGAGTCATTGTTGTGTTTTCTTATTATTTAACCAGTGACACAAAGACAGACAGAGAGACAAACAATGAGCTTCTGTTAGCAGACTGTGAACAAAAAAAAAGGATGTGAGAACGACTAAAGTTAAAGATATGTGTGATAAGGTTTATAAGTTGTTACTTTGTGCATCTCTTGACTTCTTCTCGTCTTACTGTCATTTCCTCCAGAAGAAGAGAGTTTAATTATTTGCATTTAGAGAATGAAGTCAAACTTTCTGTATTCGTGCTGAAAATAAAAAAGTAAATCAGAGGGGTCCGATGTCATGTGGAGGCATATCTATCTCTCTATCTATCCATCTTGCACTTCTTTCTAATACAAACCTGTCTAACAACATAGTCTAAAAATAGAAGATTTCCATTCATCCATCATCTAAACCGCTGATCCTGCTCAAGGTCTCAGGGGGCTCGAGCCGATTGGACGAGAGGCGGGGGGTTCACCCAATCGATCACAGGGCTGACTTAAAGGGACAAAACAAACATTCACGCTCACACTAACCTACGGGTGATTACAGTAAGAGTGACAGATTAACCTGAAGCATGTCTTTGGACTGTGGGAGGACACAGGGCTTAAAAAGACTGCATTCCAGTCCAATATTTAACTGAAAAAAAAAAAAAAACATTAAAATCCAACCAGAATCTCTCTCTGCTCAGGAAAGTCTACGGAAAAATAACTTGATTCAAGGTTTAAAACCTGGATTCAGATTTTTTTTAAAAGGACGACATGGAAATAATCTTGAGTGGAAACAGTGACTAACTAAAAGCAGAAGTTATATGGAAACACTCCACTCATGTCGTGGATACAAACAAAAAGTTAGTCATCATTCAGCCACTCCAGAGTTTGTGCTTCACAAAAACTAGTCCAACACTTTCAGACAGAAACTTAAAAAAACTCCAAATGACTCTGAATGAGGTTTATATTTAGAGAGCACACGCTGTGGACTGCACAGCTTCACAGAGTCCAACACTGACAGAGATCCAACTGTAGCAATCTGTGCAACCACACACACACACACACACACACACACACACACACACACACTGACAGGTCTGTGGACGGTATCTTTGTAGGCCACCAGCTCACCATCTGCTCGTTTCGGTCCGGGGAGGCCCGTCATTGGTCAGAACGTCTGCCCTGGACGCCACAGCACTGCTGTGTTTTCATGAAATATTCACAGAGGGCATCATACACAGCTTGACCACATATCACAACACACACGTGTATCAACATGGCCGTGTGTGTGTGTCTCCGTGCTGTAGTGCCCCCTGTGGTGTAAAAGCAGAACACAGGGCTGAACAGGGCGGCGTTTAAAAAATACAAATCACCTTCCAGTCAGATCGAATGTCTTTAGTTAAGACACTGAACTTAGGGACACACGACTTAGAGAGCAACTAGTTACAATAAAATACAAAATACTTTGAAACATGGGCCATATTTTTACGCATTTTGCATTCTTAAAAAGCAATAGGGAGGTTAGTTCTGACAGTCCTCGAATAGATTTAAAGATTAGCCATAGTATATTCAGGACAAATATGCCCAAACAAAGTATGTCCACCAAGCTACACACTATTTTAGGCCAGACCCAAAATTGTAAATATCAAACATGTTTGAACCCTTTTAAAAACCAGAACCACCGATGTACTTTTACAGGAAACATTTGCCCTGAAACATTTCAGCCGTTACAGACTGTTAAGTAAGGGCTAGATGAAGAAAACTTCTCAAGTGATTATAAGTATTTTGTGCCAATTAAACATTAGGACCCTAAATAATGCAAAAGTTGGGTCTATGGTTTAAAACACTAGCATTCCCTTTTAGTGCAATCTCTGTTGCATGGCCAAGGAAGTACTAAATAACTTGTTGTTATCTGTAAGGGAAGCTTGTTACGTAATTTTACTGCAGAAAAGATGCAATAAACTGTATAGAGCTAAAAACAGACAGCTCCAAATGATGATTGTCTGGGTGTTGAATATTGACCTGCTCCACCTACAGCTGATTTTAATGTCCGCCCTTATAAAGGAAACACTAAAAGCCTGAACGCTACAAAGTCTGTAGATACATAACACTCGCTGTTGTTCCTCTCTAATGAATGCTTCATTAAACAAACACACTTCCCGTGATAGAGCACATGTGACACTGCTAATAGAGGCTCTTTCTCTTTCTCTCTCTGAATCTCCCCTCTTGGTTGCCACGGAAACCCCTAAGAGTGACTTGTCGATTTTGACGCAGCCAATGAAACCAGATATATTAAGATCGTTATAATTCATGAATGTTTCTATTCAGTTATTACTGCTCTGAGAGCCGGCAGGATTTGAGCATCTCTAACGCTTCATAGAAAACGCCCGCTATACTTCTCAGGTAAGTGAGAAACCTTATCTATGGATATAATGCAGAGCTAATCCAATCCACTCTCTCTCTCTCTGTCTGTCACTTTCCCACCACCCAGCCTCCCCCTTCTCTCTTCCTCGAGTTTCTCTCTGACATTCTCCCCCCTGTTAAATTTCAAATCAGCAAGATCCCAGATAGCAGAAGGCATAAAATCCTCTTTTTGTACGCCGTCTCTTCACTGAGTCATGTGCTTTTTTTCCTCCTCTTCGTCATCATTCAGCAAACTCCAGGGCCGGACTCACAAGTCACAATGTCTCGTGGATTATGTCAGTTAAAAGAAATCTTCATGCTTCAGATCTTTACACCGCAAACGATTTAGGATTTTCAATATCCACTTCACAAAGCCTGGCCTGTGAGTACTTTTTTTTTACCCAGTTGGGCATTGCAGACCTCGAATGGTCTGCACAGAGTCCTGAACTATCCAACATCCCTTTGGGATCCCTTTGGGATCAACTTTAACAAGGCAGGTTTAATTGCACCAGGATCAGGGCACACCACAATCACTCTTGTGACAAGAAGAGGGGGTTAGGGTTGGGAGGGGGTCTCAGGAGGCACTACAGGAATCCAAGTCTGCAAACAAACTCTATAATTAAAGTTTTCTACTCTTTCTGGATAATGTGAATATGTACAATTATACATGTAGCAGTGATTAAGACAAAAAACAAACTGACGAGTGGAAAAGAGTTTGAAGCAGCTTCATTAAGTGCTCGTAGTTCGCAAACAAGGTGTGATATAAATGTCATGCTGCCTTCACATATAAGCTCACACCGAAAAAATTGGGGAAATTTTGAGGATGTTTTTTTGGCATGTAATCCCCCAAGGCACGCAAATAATCCACACACACACACACACACACACACACACACACACACACACACACACACACACACCACACACACACACACACACACACACACACACACACACACACACACACACACACACACACACACACACACACACACAACACCACTTTCTGTCAAGCATTGTTATTTTGCTTCCTATATCTATAACAATGATAGTGGTCACATGAGTATTAAATCTATAAATGCCTTTCCCATCATAGTGTGTATGTATAGTATGGTAACGTGAACGAGGAAGTGGTCGAATGCTAACATTAGCTGATACTTAGCATAGCTAGTGGGATATCAAAAGTGCTGTTGAGATTTAGCCCCATGTTATTGTCCTTTAAGTTGCTGAACAATCAAGAAGCGATGAAATGAAGCAATCTGTCATATTTCCTCTGTTCATAGAACCTGCAAGCTGGAATATGAGTTCAACTTTCAAACAGCATGATGTCAAGGAAAATAGCCCTCGTTCTATAAAAGTGAATTTATTTCCTCATGAATTCTGCAGGATATTCTTTACAGAAAAATGTTCTTCAGAGATAAGTTTGTACCCTGATTGTTATTCATCATGCATCTGCCTTGTCCTGTAGCCTTAGTTTGCAAAACAGCAGCCAGTGATGGCTAACACAATGAGACACTTAAAGTCAAACACACAAACCCCCAAACAAAGCCACCTAAGTTAAACTATGAATATCCTGGAGAGGATTCAGATCAATGTTAACAGGCGAGGAAAGGAACCAGCGGCACAGGACGGACTGAAGACAGAGACACGGACAGGAAGACAGACAGCTCCAACTGCCACAAGCTACAACAACAGATGCTATTCATCCCTCCTCCCCCGATGCTTAGCTTTCTATATCCTCTATTTTCTTTCTCCAAACACTGTGTCCCCATTCACTATCAATGACAAACCATTTGAAACTGTTAAGACTTGAGTATGCGCTGTCTTTCAGAGCTTTGCTTGTTTGTGTGGAGAGAGATAACGAGGCCAAAAATATCTTGATTCCTTGATTCCTAAAATGTGGCTTATTTATTTCCTAATGTCATTTTATGAACATCTTAAAGTGACTATAGAGCTCAATGAATGATTTATAGGTTTCACTTTGCAGATCCAACTGGTTGGGCTGGTATCACACTATCCTAACAATAGCTACTGTGTGAACAGGGTGTGTGCTCCTCTGTTATTAACATCAAATAGTTAGCAAAGTCAGATGGTACCAGATAAGGCCTCATAGCTCAGTGGTTAGAGCACTGGTCTAGTAAACCAGGGGTCGCGAGTTCAATTCTCGCTGAGGCCTCACTTCCTTTTTGTCCGAGACCATTGTACGCAAAGTGCAGCAAGGGACGGATGGTCTTGGCCTTGGGGCCAGCACACCAGCCTTGAAACGGCTACTTGGTGCATGCCTGTGGGGCAGGAGGTATGCCGGAAGAGGAGGCAACAAAGTGCG